AATATAATATGAGTGTATATATATATATATATTTGTATATCTACATACATGCATGCATAAATACATACATACATACATACATACATACATACATATATACATATATATACATATTTAAATATATATGTATATATTTATGTTTCTTTGTGTATATGTATATATGTATATTATCTCATCACCTATACTTGTACCCCACAGGAATCCTTGTTAAATAGGCTATCAAGCAACTTAGCTATCGCTGGGCCACACTTGTAGAGATCCGTCGTCCATCGTTGATGAAACCGCTGCACAACGACCATCATCAAATGGGTCAAATTGGAAACTTTAGAGGACCCCCGATATTTAAATGTGATGTCTTTTCCTTGCATATGCAACATGTATCTACATATACTATTTCAGATTTTTTTTTCCGGAAATCAATGCCACACCTCATAGATACATTTTGACAAGTGATTCTGCACCGCCTTTGGGTTGATTCTGAGTCAACTGCATTTGGGCGGCCAAACGCTGGTCGCAATGAGAACATATAGTGTCATTGCTCCACATTCTTCAAATTTATTGAAGTTTTACACGCACCCCGGATACTGTATTTGATGGTGGAAAACCATATACAGCCCAAGAGTTGGTTAAGAATCCGAAAGCTTGAGGCCCAGGGTCCTTCAAATTCTTATTTTTAGATGCAGGCAAATTTCCACCACAATAGGTCGAGGGTCCCTCAAATTCTTAGAGCATTCTTAGTTATGTATTGTATGCATCTACGCAATTTGGAGCGAGCTTAAACGAGGCAACGAGGTGGAGTTGGCAGATTTAACACGGGTGGTGCGGAAACAAAAAATCAGAGCCTGAAAAATTGCGTTTTTGCAAAGCCGGGCTTGTCAATGAGTTTCACAAACGCAGTTCCGAAAAAACATTTTTTCAGGTTGCGAAAAATATTTTTTCCGCAGTGCCCGCAAGAAAGGTTCATTCCATTTCATCGTTCAGGGGGGAATGCAGAAAAACAATTTTTCAGAGCCTGAAAATTTGTCTCTGAGTCTCACAAAAGAGACGCCGGAAAAAAAAATCAGGTCGCGTTTTTTTTGGGTGCAACCGCGGACCACGCCAAACCCCAGCCCTTTTGCAGCCAGCTCAAAGAGAGTAAGATTGCAAAATTCTCCAGAGGCAAGGGTCCTGTAGCACAATGGTTAGAGCGTCGGTCGTCGCGCTTGAAGATCGCGGGTTCGGATCCCGGAGGGGCGTCGTTTTGCGCAACCTTTCGGCGCTGTCAATATGTGGTTTTCTTGGTTTGCTCAGAAGCGCCGCTCAGTTTTTATTAAGCCAATGGCCAAATATATCCACATATTGATCTTGCGTGGATTGGAAGCAGTCCAAACATGTGCGAAAAATCACTTTTTCGAGGCCTGGAAAGCTGTTCTTTCTGTAAAATCCGATTTCATCCCATAAGGCCATAAGGGGCCATTCCACAAAAAGGAACCGCACAGGGGGATTACAACCTTCCAGTTCCCATGCCACAAAACCCACAAAACCTCATGATGTATAAACAGTAATTTAAGAATTTGGCAATCCTATCCCAGGGTCCCTCAAATTCTTAAAGTGCTATGTGCTTGGTATGGTTGGAAATATGTAGCCCGCATTGGATCCGAACCCTTCAAATTCTTATACAGTGCATTCTTCAATACTCGGGCTGTATGTATATATATATATATATGTCTCTCTCTCTCTCTCTTTTCATACATATACAATATATATTTATATAGATCATATATATATATACATAGATTATATATATATATATATACATAGAATATATATATATATAACTATATATATATAGTTATTATTTACCTACTATATATATATATATATAGTTATTATTTTCTTGGATTCTCCATTGCGCCCATCCACGGAAACAAAGGAATCCGCATTTGTTTGTCCTTTTGGCAACTTTTGGCCTCAACAGCTGGGCCTCCCAGCCTTCAGTCGACGATTTTCTGGCGCTTACTGCATGTGACCAAACTTCTGTGTGAGCAGTATCTTTCGCATGAGAACGTCTCACGGTTTCGCTGACGCGAAACTAGCTGAGACTGGGCCCGGCACCACCCTGGTTTTATAGTGATCCCAAAATATCCGGAAAAACAAATGGAAAAACACATGTTGCAACCCTGGACATGTCAGGTATAGGTATCATCTTTCCTTACATCCTGGGTTTTGTTTCTATTTGTGGGGTGCGTTTTTTAAAGTTAAGATCCCAATCACCATCCGAACCGTGGGTTGATTTACGGTAACACCGACACCTGAAGATGGCTGCCATGCCGCCAAGTCAAGTCTCTGAAACATCATAAGGTGTATTATACTAGGTCAATCTTACGTGGATACTTTAATCCTTTAGTCTTTTGGTATTAATGGGAATATCTACTAACCAGCAACGAATTTATTTTTTTGCAGGGTATCTAAGATTGGCAATGTGAAATAAATATACATAAATGATGAATTTGAAAACATCACTGGTTGGTGGTTTGGAACATTTTTTTATTTTTCCATATATTGGGAATGTCATCATCCCAACTGATGAACTCATATTTTTCAGAGAGGTAGGTATACCACTATCTGGTAATTTTGCTAGATTTGGTTTCCAAAGATGTCAAGCATCATTGGCCTCTGCATTGACCTCACCAGCAAACATTTATTTGAAGCCTCAGGTGATCCTCCAGTCGTTTTGTTGACTGTTGGCAGCCATGGGTGGATGATTTCTCCATAGTGGATTGATACATATATATATATATATATGGGTAAATTATAACGACCTCACTGTTCTCCCGAGCCCTGGAATCATAGTTAATACGGGAAATCATCCCCAAATGGCCGAACTATTCAGGTTAGTGAAATATTATCATTTACCCTGATATATTATAATATTATTTTGTATACCGCATTATTATTTTTATTTTGTTAAGTATTGTTATATCATTATATAGTTTATTTTTTTATCGTTTTAATATCCCATATTATCTAATTGTATCATCATTCATATCCCATAAATGTCGAATTTTGAATGATGAACATCATCATAAGTCAAGTCTTTCACCAACAAAAAACAAAGCGTCTCCAAGATGGGCACTTCTACACCTAGAATTGCAGTCTTTGTACCGGGTGCCCAGCGACCTTAGAGAGTTTGCACAGCGCAGCATCGTCATCAGGGCATCGTCAAACCCATAGAGCTGCTCGAAAGCGACTCAAGAAAACGCGTGGTTTTTGCAGCTGAGTCCAGACTTTGGGGGAAAACCAATTGGTGACTTTTACGGTGGTTGAATCATCGGTTAAAAATTGGAATAATTAGGAATGTATACTGACACTGTTGACCTAGACCCTCTAAATAACCCCCCAACAGCATTTTCGAAGGGTATAAACGGATCGTCTAGGTTGATAATATATGTATATATATAAATATATACATATACATATATATAATATATAAGATGCTATTGATAATTAATACCTTGTGTGAAGTACTCTTGACCTCCCAGTAAGCCAGCAAACCAAGTCCTACTGCAGCCACTAACCTCAGATTGATTCAGATTGACTTTCGTCTTCTGTCTAAATGATTTACCCGAAAAACCAACAAAAAGGAAGGTCAAATCTAGGTCAATCTTACATGGATACTTTAATCCTTTAGTCTATTGGTATTACTGTAATGGGAATATCTACTAACCGGTCAAGAATTTATTTTTTTGCAGGGTATGTAAGATTGGCAATGAAATTATGTAGAAAAATGGTTGCATGCTTATGCTGTCGCAGTGCAGCACCAATCCACAGTTCTCCTTTGTCGCAGTTTGTAGTTTCAGCGCTTGAAACTGTGCCATGCTTATTTGGGCCCTTAATCATCAAAAGACCAATGGAATTAAAACCAGTTAAAGCCAGCAAGTGTTATAGTGTCTTACCCTAGTGCTAATATATCCCTTGCACAATTCACAGTTATGGCCATTTATTAGTTATAACCAGTTATAAATGGGATTATACATTCTATTTAAATGGGGTTATAAGTACTTATAACTGGTAAAGGGCCTTAACTGTGGAGATTTAACAGTTCGCGAACTTGAACAGTTCGCACCTGAAGATAGTTGATTTATGTTGATTTACCAAACTTAAAGATGGTGATTTTCCAGTACTTATAACTGGTATTTCGGGCCTTAACTGTACATCGGGAACAGTGTTCTGTGAAGGTTTTCTGTGATTCGTTTGATCATTCCATCTGATTGCCATCCCCAATCTTGGATCGGTAGTTTAATCCTGTTGATGGGCTATAAGTAGAAGATTAATGACAATAACCATATCCAGTAACAGTAAAAGGGAACATTTTTTGGTGGACTACCAAAGATTTACCATGTCACATGTTTGTTGAGATGGGTTTGTCTGAATGTTTTTCACGAATAGAAATAATCATTTTGTGGATCCAGGTGCTTCCCCTACTTAGCAAAGCTGTTGTATATACTGTATATATATATAACCATGTTTAACTATGTATAACTAGGCTTTATGGCAAATGTAATCATTGAGAATGAATGCTAATGGTGTTTTTAAACCAACAAACATACATGAACTGGGCGAGACACCACCTTGTAATATGCATTGTATTCATTGTGTTTGTATGTTACATATGTAAATCTGCAAATATAAAAGTGTGTTTTTGTCGACACAGTAAAGCTTGGCATTTTTATGTGGGTAAAACAAAATCGTAAACCATGACCCAACTTTACCATGACCATGGCTGGTATGAACATGAACCATCCAAATATGGGCGGTAAACTAGCTTGGGGTTCACATAACTCGAACATTTCATGTTTGGACTTATGGTAGATATATCATGATAGATATTTCTCGAACTAGTTTTCATGGGATTTATTTACCAACGTTCACATCACGTTTGGGGGCACCACCTTGTACTACATGAATTTAGATCCAGAGATCCCATTTCTCAGACAGATCCAGCTGCGCAAAGCACTAAGGTAGCACCGGATCTTCGTCGATCTCAGACTCCTTCACTACTGGTGGCAGGCGGAGCATGGAGACGTTGTTTTGTTTGAATGTCCATTGGGTGGGTGGTAAGGAAACAGGAAAACAATCCAGGTGTTCCTCTCTATAAAAACCAACTGGTGTTGTATCCATTCTGTAACGAGTCAGATTACAGTATTTGAATGGTAGTAATAGATCACCATTAATCAAAGGGAATATCCGCAAATATGACATCTAGAAACTAATCCTTAAGTCTTACTGCTACTATGTATGTATACAAATGGACAATATCCAGCCAACCAGCAAAAGATTACATTTTTTCCCCATCTGCCAGGTGAGGGTTGCTAGATTTTAACAGAGCTCTTCTCTTCCTCCTCCTCCTCCTCCGCCTCCTCACCCGCCGCCTCCTCCTCGCAGTCCAGATCCCAGTGGGCACAGCCGGACCTCCACCGCGAGCTCCAGATCCCAGTGGGCACTGCCGGACCTCAACCGCGAGTTGCAGATCGCAGTGGGCACTGCCAGACCTCAACGGCCAGATAGAATGCCAGAAGATATGCCAGATGGAATGTCAGATAGAATGCCAGAAGATATGTCAGATAGAATGCCAGAAGATATGCCAGATAGAATACCAGAAGATATGTCAGATAGAATGCCAGAAGATATGCCAGATAGAATGCCAGAAGATTTGCCAGATAGAATGCCAGAAGATATGCCAGAAGATATTCCAGAACATATGCCAGAAGATATGCCAGATAGAATGCCAGATAGAATGCCAGAAGATATGTCAGATAGAATGCCAGAAGATTTGCCAGTAAGAAAATGTATAAATGCCATGGTGGGGATCACACGAAGTAAAGTAATTGTGGACTACCAAAGATTGACCATGGAAACAGGAAAGCAGGTTTTCCTCTAAATATATGATGTGAATGTTCTGATCTGTTTCCCAGTAGTATTCGCGAATGATTCTTCAGTTTTTGAACCAATTGTGGGATTTTAAACCTGATAAACCCATGATTTCTTAAAACCTGATAAACCTGATAAACCACTTGTGGGATTCCTTGAACCAAAGTTTTTTTGGGGACTGTCAACCGTGGGTTGATCAACCTTTGGGTTGTCTCGGGTTGACGTCGTTGACATGGGGCAGAGCGTGGTGCTTTTTGGGGAAATTGGACACCTACCTTTTTTTGTGTGTAATTGTCAAGAACAGATGGTGAGTAAATGTCCAAAAACATGGGTGTGTTGTTATCTGGTGTGATCTTTTTTTGATGAGCACTAGGTCATAGGTAGTGTTTAGGTGACATTGTGGCGTTTTTTTGTTGAATCACCTACCAAATCAACATTTGTTCTAGATGACCTGAGTGCAATCATCACCTACCTATCACTGGTTGGTGGTTTCAAACATTGTTTATTTTCCATTTCATATATGGGATGATCCTTCCCATTGACCAACTCATATTTTTCAGAGGGGTAGGTATACCACCAACCAGTATCAGGTCTGAACCTGTCATAAAGGTTTTACCTACATCACATCCCCTAAGTACCAGGTGGCTGATGGTTCCACCGTTGAACCCTCCATTTTTACTTCCCCAAAAATGGCAATCGTAGGAAAAATATAGAGTAAAACAGCATTTTTACGTGTACTTGGAGGGTCTAGGGAGATACAGTATCTGTTTGGTAACCGACCTGATTTGGATGTTCACAAGAAAGGAGGAATGGCATATGCCGTATGAAGTGACACCTAAAGCCTTGGTGGGGCTGGAACATCAGCCTTTTCTCTAGGTAATTCATCTATAGATGGGCCATTTTCCATAGCCATTTTAAATTACCGGAGGTTATGGATGGCTACTTTTGGACTTCAATCTTTTTAAATGGTGGTATTTCCCATGAGCTGGAAAAAAAACCTGTCATGGACTGGCCATGATTTCTGGGAAAGCTCAGCTTAATTAATTTCCTTCCAGAAACCTGGGTTTGTTCAGAAATGGGGTACAATGTGGGGCCCCCCAGTTATAAGTTGGTTCATAAGCCTCAATAACTATAGTTATAAGTACCATAAACCATAGTTATTGGCTATTAACCAACTTAGCTATCTAGGGGGCCCCACTTTGTAATTACCCTTAAAAAAACAAAATGTCTGGACAATTACTCTCTTCGAGTGATCCGCACGCCATCTGGAAGTGTATATGTATGTATATATAATTAATAAAATATAATACTGGTTGATGGTTTCAAACATTTTTTATTTTCCATTTCATATATGGGATAATTCTTCCAATTCACTGACTTTCATATTTTTCAGAGGGGTAGGTATACCACCTATATGGCTGCGAGTCAAAATATAAGCTCTGGATCATGCTCCGGGCCCAAAAAGCTATTCCAGACCCAGGATCCACAGACCCAGGATCCGATCGACCCAAAAATTCTCAGGAAATGATGAACAACACGACCAAAGTGGGGCCCCCTTAAACGAAATCGCTAAGTTGGGGTTCACATAACTCCAAAGGCACGAATTAGTTTATGGTACTTATAACTTATAACGAACTAGTTATTGAGGCTTATAAACCAACTTATAACTAGGGGGCCCCACATTGTACTGATGTTTAAAAAAAACCTTGCAGGGTCCAGGGTAGTCAAAAATCAATTTCACATGCAAACTTTCCCAGCATGCAGACATACGGGAATGGGTCAAACTGAGGATAGTACTATATAGGGCCAGGTTTTTGTATTTTTTTAGTTGTCAGGTTAAACCATCCATAGCTGCTGATTTGTTATTTTTGACTCATACCCATACTTTTTGTTTCAGGCGACCATTTGGGCTCAGCCTTTTTGGCTGAACGTGTCTTTCCAGGGGCTGCTGGGTCACCATGCCCTCTTTTTAAGGTGCTGGCTGACAGAGATGGGAAACAGGTTGTGCCTGCGAAAAAAACAGAAAATCCATTTGAAGAGTGCGCTCCTGAAAAACCTTCCTGGCATTCTTTCTGTTAAGAAAATGCTTTGACATTCTCTATCTGGCATTCTGGCATTCTATCTGGCATTTTATTTGACATTCTCATACCCTCAACTACTTAAGGTCTAGAAGGCCCCCCCCTGGAGGGGCTAGGGTCTAGAGGTCTAGACTGATAATTAGGGCATTGTAGACCTGTCCCAGTGGTACCACTCTAGACCCTTGGAATTTGGAGGTTTTGAAGCTAGCAAAAAATGAAATATAAAATCATAGCATTCTGGGGCCCTACTGTCAGGAAGCCATATTTTTTTTGGTTCACCCCAAATCCCTAGCAACACAGTTTGGAAGCAAAAATAAAGGGATTCTGAAAGAGAGGTTCTGGAACAGGTTTATTTTTTCGACCAATCTTTTTCAAATCTATCATCACCCATCTTTTGCATCCCAGAAAATGTTACGCAATTCATCATCAGGCTGAGAAGTCTGATAATTCAGCGTCGGACTGATCTCTCTTTATTACAAGGAATTTATTTTCTTGAAAACAAATTGCAACAGTTTTGAACCACCTGTTTTTCGTTTGTCCTGACCCGGTTGGATGTGATAGAATGGAGATCAGACATACCCTCAAGATCGCGGTGCCTAAAAATGCCGTTGAGGGTTCTAAAATCATAGAGGGTATGATTTTAGAATCCTGAGAGGCTATCAAATCAGAACCTTGAAAGTATATGAGCCTTGTTGTGGTATAAATTGATTTCAACAGACCACAAGAAAAGGTCATTGATTTGGAGCGCAGAAAAAGAAAACAAGTCGTGATGAGGTATTTGCACAAAGGTGCAAAACATGTGTGGAATTAGCATCCCCGGTTTTGGTCGATCAAGATTTCCATTTTCAAAACTTCAAAACTAGGTGATTTCGATGTTGCTTGGTTTGAACATCACCCGAAAACAAGGCAAAACAATGACCAACCTGCAGCAATGTGCAATAACAAAGATGTAAAATTAATCTCCGGCAACATCTTCAGCTGAATTATCATGAGCTTTACTTCAACATGATATGGCATTACCTCCAACCTCCCACATATGCCAGTTTGATTTGGAAGAAACAAATGCCAGGCCAAGTTGTGATGAGCAACCTGCAGTGACGTGCTTCCAACAACCACCTCCAGTCTTTAGATACCAACACTTTTGGTCCAGCCAAGGCGTTTGGAAAAACAATGCAGGGTCTATCATCATTTTCCCCAGGTCAATGCGGTTCAATTGTTTTTCTAAGCTTGGAGGGAACCATTCCAGACCCAGAGGTGCTGACATGTGGCCAGCCATAACCCAACTTAACCTTCCTTTGACACCTCTTCTACTTCTACATCCCTTTGCAAGTTTGTTTTCATTTAACATCTCCATTCTGTAGGTACCAAAACTTTTGGTCCAACCAAAGCGTTTGGAAAAAAATGCAGGGTCTATCATCATTTTCCCCAGGTCAATGCGGTTCAATTGTTTTTCTAAGCTTGGAGGGAACCATTCCAGACCCAGAGGTGCTGACATGTGGCCAGCCATAACCCAACTTAACCTTCCTTTGACACCTCTTCTACTTCTACATCCCTTTGCAAGTTTGTTTTCATTTATCATCTCCATTCTGTAGGTACCAAAACTTTTGGTCCAACCAAAGCGTTTGGAAAACATGCAGGGTCTATCATCATTTTCCCCAGGTCCATGCGGTTCAATTGTTTTTCTAAGCTTGGAGGGAACCATTCCAGACCCAGAGGTGCTGACATGTGGCCAGCCATAACCCAACTTAACCTTCCTTTGACACATCTTCTACTTCTACATCCCTTTGCACGCTTGTTTTCATTTATCATCTCCATTCTGTAGGTGCCAACGCTTTTGGTCCAACCAAGGCGTTTGGAAAAAAATGCAGGGTCTATCATCATTTTCCCCCGGTCAATGCGGTTCAATTGTTTTTCTAAGCTTGGAGGGAACCATTCCAGACCCAGAGGTGCTGACATGTGGCCAGCCATAACCCAACTTAACCTTCCTTTGGCACCTCTTCTACTTCTACATCCCTTTGCAAGTTTGTTTTCATTTAACATCTCCATTCTGTAGGTACCAAAACTTTTGGTCCAACCAAAGCGTTTGGAAAACATGCAGGGTCTATCATCATTTTCCCCAGGTCAAAGTGTTTCAAGCTGTTTCTAAAGCTTGGAGGCAACCATTCCAGACCCAGAGGTGCTGACATGTGGCCAGCCATAACCCAACTTAACCTTCCTTTGACACCTCTTCTACTTCTACATCCCTTTGCAAGTTTGTTTTCATTTATCATCTCCATTCTGTAGATGCCAACACTTTTGGTCCAACCAAGGCGTTTGAAAAAAATACAGGGTCTATCATCATTTCCCCAGGTCAATGCATTTCAATCTGTTTTTAAAGCTTGGAGGGAACCATTCCAGACCCACAGGTGCTGACATGTGGCCAGCCATAACCCAACTTAACCTTCCTTTGGCACCTCTCCTACTTCCACATCCCTTTGCACATGTGTTTTCATCCACCATCTCCTTTCTTTAGATACCAACACTTTTGGTCCAACCAAGGCATTTGGAAAAAATGCAGGGTCTATCATCATATTCCCCAGGCCAATGCGTTTCAATTTGTTTTTAAAGCTTGGAGGGAACCATTCCAGACCCACAGGTGCTGACTGTTGGCCAGCCATAACCCAACTTAACCTTCCTTTGGCACCTCTCCTACTTCCACATCCCTTTGCACATGTGTTTTCATCCACCATCTCCTTTCTTTAGATACCAACACGTTTGGTCCAACCAAGGCGTTTGGAAAAAATGCAGGGTCTATCATCATATTCCCCAGGCCAATGCATTTCAATCTGTTTTTAAAGCTTGGAGGGAACCATTCCAGACCCACAGGTGCTGACTGTTGGCCAGCCATAACCAACTTGGCCTTCCTTGCACATTTGTTTTCATCCACCATCTGCATTCTGTAGATGCCAACACTTCTGGTTCAGCCAAGGCGTTTGAAAAAAAAACGAGATCTATCATCATTTTTCCCAGGTCAATGCGTTTCAATCTGTTTTTAAAGCTTGGAGGGAACCATTCTAGACTCACAGGCGCTGATATGTGACCAGCCATATTCCAACTTAGCCATGCTTTGACACATCTTCTACAGTCTACATTTTTTTGCATCCTTTTTGTTACCTACCACCTCCTTTCTTTTGATAGCAACACATCTGATAGAGAACTTTCGGAGAACAACGAAGAAGGAGAGATTGATAACTCTCAGTAAATTTTGAGACTGGTCATGGTCCAGTCGATTTTTCCTTTCACAAGCGATGATCTTGCACACCGCTTGCCAAAACAAGGTGAGGGCACGGTGGCTTCAATAGATGACTGAACGACGCAATCTTTGTGGGGAAGCGTACAGGTTGCAATCCAATTTTGCATCCGTCCCGACGTTGCTTTAAAAAATGTTCTGCAGTTCTGCATATATTATCCGGAAAAGGTGGGCCTGACGCGGCCTAGGAAAAACGGCAAAAAATAGAAAATCTAAAGCATTGCGATGACCTGAACCGCGCACTGCGTGTGGGAGGACAAAGGCAATATGCAAATGAAACGCAGCATGTGTTCAACACAAAACAGAAGAATACATGTCATTTTTCAATAATTTTATGGCTTGCAGGAACACGATTTTAGAACCCCACCATGCGTAGACGTTGGGGTTCTATTCTGCTCTCCGTTGAGGGATGTCAAAAGCCTTGGGTTTTTTGAAACCTTGTTTGATCTTGAGGGTATGATCAAACTGAAGTGTCTTGTCGCTTGGGATTACGAAACGCCCACCAGTGGCACATGCAAAAATGAAATGTGTTCGGTGCACATGAAAAGTTGGATTTTTAGGAGCATATGTAGAGACAGTGGGAAAACCATAGTAGACCTTAAATACTGGACCAGCCCAAAGGTCTAGATGAACGAAATTATTTTTACATTCCCCCTGGCCAAACAACCTTTTAGACCCCACGTTTAGGGTCTACATTACAGTAACCCACCCCGCCTCCCAAGTAGCTGAGGGTATACATTCTCTGCATCCGCGCTCGCCATATAGAGTTCGGGCTCAGCCCTCCACATCCTGAGCTGGCGAGTGCTGGGCTTCGGGTCTAGGCGCCCATTGCAGAGCTCGCCCGCCGTCGGATCAGTTCATGCCAGTCCCGACGAGCAGACGCTCACCCGGCAGGGGAAAAAAGTTCACTGTTCAGACTTCCAAACATGGAGGATGGACTGGTCTTAGAACGGAAAATCATATTCAAATAATTACTCAACTTGAGGTTTGCTAAAATGGGTATCCCCAAATCGTCCAAAATTACACTATTTTAGCGTATGGTTTTTGGGAATCCCCATGTTAAGAAAACCCGAAATCACCCTAGGATTTTGAGGACCCAAAGGTCTTGAAAATAACACACTGTTTGACTATTGACATTGCCAGGGCATGTCTTTTTGAAATTCATGAAACCCTCCGGTGTCATCAAACATAGCAATAGACAATCACCCATTTGGTTCGATTGACCTATTGAGCTCCTTATTAAAATTAATAGATACTTAAATAAATCCCATATAGTCCACATGCAGAAAAATGGCCATGGCTACTAGTGAACTAACTGGTTATTTCTATGGGATAAAAGACATTCTATAAATGGGGTTTTCTTAGTACTTATAACTGGTATTTAGGGCCTTAACTGCAATAAAATCAAACATATCCCCTGTTTTTCCTACTCAAATCTGCAATTCTGAAGGCACCATTTTGATCTTCTCACGTTGCACGATGTTGCACGAGGTGCTTCTTCCAATCGCGACGACAAGAATGGCCACTTCGATGAAGTGATCGAGGTGGCGGGTGGTCTATCCGAAGTGGTTCCTTGTCTGCACGGTGTACCGTTCCACTCCACGATCACCGATATGGATCGATGTTCCAAGCATTCAGATCTCCACAAAGTGGGGCCCAGTTTACGATAACTAAGTTGCTTTGTAACTCCGATAACTATGGTTTATGGTAACGGTACGCATGTAAAACTGTATATATTCATATACATATACTGTATATATATATATACATATATATATATATATATATGTGCTATATATATATATACATATGTGCTATATATATATTTATATATATATATATATGTAAGTGTGTATAGACGCACCGCTTGGTAATAACTAACATAGAAACGTCAATTGTTTTTTTAACGCCAGAGTTGATGTTCAGGACTCTGTTGGGACCGCTGGGATTTGATAGAAATCATCCCTTTCCAAAATATGAAATCAAGCCCACACAAGGTGCTGCCCCATAGTTAGCTAAGTTGGTTTATAACTCCCATAACTATGGTTTATGGCCGATATAACTATACTTAATGGGGGTTATAAACCAACTTATAACTGGGGGGCACCATCCTGCAATATATCATCCGCACCCTGACGCACGACTATGACATAGTTTCTGGTATACCATCTGGAAGTATATGTGGTATAATATATAAAATCTGGTTGGTGGTTTGAAACATTTTTTCCATTTCATATATGGGATATATAATCCTTCCCATTGACGAACTCATATTTTTCAAGATGGTTAAAACCACCAACCAGTAATACAGTTCAGGCTTTTACCAGTTATACATGGCTATTTCTATGTGGTTATAATTCCATATATGGGGTGATGTCACTGACTTGTAACTGGTAAACGGCCAGAACTGTATGGGATCCCAAATGAATGAAATTCCCATTGAACCGAAAATGCCATTGAACCAGGATGTCTATAAGGGGTTACTTGTATGGTTTTACTGGATATATAATTCTTCGCGGGAAGGAATTAGACAGGATTTATGGGCATTTGGCCTTACCAAACATGAAGGGTTCTTTGACTGCTTGCAGTTAAGGCCCGAAATACCAGTTACAAGTACTAAGATAACTCCATCAAAATAGAATGTTCTTTATCCCATAGAAATAACCAGTTAGTTCACTAATAGCCATGGCCCATTTTTCTGTGGGGATTGGAAACTTCTGGAACAAAGTTTGCATCGATCAGGGCCGACGCATCCTCGTTGCTGTTTTTTTTATATGAATTCATCATATCTGGCATACATCATGAATCTCCATGAAGCCACCATAAATGGCCATGGCTATTAGTGATACTTGGTTATTTCCATGAGATACATTTTATAAATGGGGTTTTCTTAGTACTTATAACTGGTATTTCGGGCTTTAACTGCTCCATAGATATCATTTTTTTCATCTTAAATCTCATTTTTATCACCATTTTTGGTTGTGAAAGGTAACCATGTCTTGCTGAATCCCGTCGGGTAACCCCATGCTGTACACTTCCAAGGCAGTCGCCGTCGCCGGGTTGGAGGCTGATAGACCAGGCGTGGGAATGGCTTGGAAAATCACGATTTTCTTGGAGTTGCTCGAGATGATTGTTTATTTTTGTCCAGGGGAATCCACTACTTGCAGTTATGGCCATTTATTAGTTATAACTGCATGGTTAAAAATGGGATTATACATTCTATAAATGGGGTTATAAGTACTTATAACTGGTAAAGGGCCTTAACTGTGGGGAATTGATTAAGGGGATATGTCTTATTTTTTGGTGGTTCCTGTTTCGCAAATCCATGTGTTTGGTTTTTAATAGGTCGATCAACTATACTTGGGTATAGCCATGGGAACTGCAAACTTGAGAACTGGAACACTATGATTTAGTATAACATGAAAATTATTGGGATATAATGATGACAACTGGAGAAAAATGATAAAATGGGAGTTAATCTTAAGAAACATGGTTACTCATAAAACATCAATTAACCTCATATAACCATGGGAATTAAGACCCCGTAAGTTGGGATAACTATAACCCCTTCACCCGAAAATTTATGGGGCTATTTTTTTATGGGGATCAACCAGCCATGTCATGGTGATTTTTGATGGAAAGATCATGGCATATCATGGGATGTGTTGAAGAAAAATGGACGTTGACCGACAAAAAAAAGGTGGTAAAATGGTGATTAGTTTTGGACAACTCAGGTGAGTTGGAGATTGAAACTGGATTCGGCCTACTTTGTTTTGATTATATCGCACTACAATAATCATTGGAGATTGAATGGGAGATTTGTATATAAGAGGAGATCCAATGGGATAGAATGACTGTGCACTTTTTTGCAGCCTGTGTGGCTTCAAAAAGGGCTCTTTCCCCCAGCTGAAACCACTAACTAATTTACTATAGACTAAACTTCTTTAAATCTCATTCCGGCACCCTTGGTGCAGGTGAATTTTCGCAGTTTCCTTTTTAGGTTGAATCGAACATACATATACAATTTATGACTGGCATGATTTGACAGGTGCGTCCTCAAAAAAAAATGCCGTTGCGCTCTGTCGACGTCGTGACCGACTCTGTCGACCAAGCATGGGCACAGCAAGTCGGATCCATGCTGTCCATCAGGACAGCCCTACTCGGGATGATCCACCACTTCCACACCGTGGACATCGCCGTGGTGTCGCATCTGAAAAGTTCGAAGCCTTGCTGAGAGACTCAATATATGTACAATTGGGATTAAGCAACCATATTTATTTTGGATTTGGGGTTGCTAGCTGTGTCATGAAGCTTGAGATTGTCAGATCCCCAAAAATTCGTTTTGCAATTACTTTCTTAAGCTTAATGGATCTGACAAAATGAATTCTTAAAATGTGATCAATACTAAGCTTAGAATACTTAATTCTTAATGGATCCCATTCTTGGGGACTACTTAATGGAATACTTAAAATGAAAACGGACTAGCGATTTCAATGGCTTTAAGATGATGTTTGCTTAAGATAAAATGTCCAACTATGACTATTCATCGCCTACTAATCGGTATCAGAGCTACATCACAACAAATGGGTGTGGACCTCCCAACTTACAAGGTGGTTGACACAGAGATAGTTAAGTTTGGCTAAAAATAAGTACAGTATGTCAACCCTGGATTAATAAACCCGTATTGATGGTTTGCCCATTAAAACGGGCACCTGCTTACTACACCCTTGAAAGCCAGGATTTTGTCCAAAAGTGCCCGGTTCAAAAGTTTTTAGGGTAGGTACAGGATGGTGCCCCCCAGTTATAAGTTTGTTTATAATCCCCATTAACTATAGTTATATCTGCCATAAACCATAGTTATGGGAGTTATAAACCAACTTAGCTAACTATGGGGCACCACCTTGTAGGGAAATTACCCTCTGGTAATTTAACATAGCTATTGAAAACGGCCATTTATAGTGGATTTTCCCATTAAAAATGGTGATTTTCCATAGCTATGTTAAATTACCAGAGGGTATTTTTACCACTTGTGCTTTATTATTGTGGTTTGGCAATTAAGATCCTGGCATAAGTTGCGCATACTGCCCAAAAGTTTCGCAACATGTCTTACAGTTAAGGCCCGAAATACCAGTTATAAGTTATAAGTACTAAGAAAACCCCATTTATGGAATGTATAATCCCATTTATAACCAGTTATAACTAATAAATGGCGATAACTGCTGTTTTCTTTGTCGAAAATATGCGTCCCGTGTTTGTCCTCGGAGTACATGGGACGCAAGCGGTTGAAGAAACAAGGGTCCCAAGCCAAGAGCCGACCCCTCAGGTCCTAAGTCATTTGTTTTTTCAGCACAGTTGTGGTCATTTGTTAGTTATAACTGGTTATAAATGGGATTATACATTCTATAAATGGGGTTATGTTGGTACTTATAACTGGTATTTCGGGCCTTAACTGCACCTGTTCGTATTTTTTTTGGCCAGGTAATGGCCAGACTTAGGCTTATTTGGCTCGCAAGTCTTAAGTCATCAGAGGACACAAGTCCTAAGTCATCAAAGGGTAGTATAGGCTGTTTAATTGGGGGTACCATGTGAGTATCAGATTGTCTCAACAATCGGGGCGTACATCCCTAATAAACCACCGGTTTATCAAGCCGGGTTAAATTATATGGTTTATGATAGATATATCCCTTGCGAGACGGGTTTAAGTTAGCCAACTTAGAATTTAGAATTGGCAATTGCACCACCTTACAGAAGTGATGCAAACATGTACTGGAAATTACTAAAGTGGGGCCCCCTTAAGCGCAATCTCTAAGTTGGTGAACTTAACTCTAATGTAATTATGGTTTATGATACTTATAACTATAGTTACTATAGGGTTTATAAACCAACTTATAACTGTGGGGGGTCCCACATTATTTTTTTTCGAGAGATATCCTCATGCTCCAGTAAATTAGACTGCGAGATACGCAACACTCCAGCATTTCAAGATCATGTTGTGGGGTCTCCCCAGGGATTTCCATATTTATCTTGCAAGGTGGTGCCCCAGTTCGTTAGCTAAGTTGGTGAACATAACTCCCATTAAACCTATGGTTTATGGCAGATATAACTATAGTTAATGGGGGTTATAAACCAACTTATAACTGGGGGGCACCATCCTGTAGTATACTTCAGGATAAGTGATGATCGATCCTACTTGTTGTTTCGATCTTCACGTTTTTCGTTGGTTCCATATCCACATGGGCTCTGCAAAAAAGGGACAAAAGGGACCCCAGGACCCCATTCCATCCGCTTCCTTTAGGGTAAACTAGATGTGGAAAGCCACTGCTTTCCGGAAAATCATCTACAATGGTGGATTTTCCACATTCTTAGATTAATTAACCCAAGTTTCCATTGGTTTCCACATTTTCCACAATTTTTCATATGGTAATTGGTGGATTTTGCCTCTAGTAGTTTAACAAGTGGGGCCCCCTTAAACGAAATCGCCAAGTTGGTGAACATAACTCCAATTTCACTATGATGTATGGCACTTATAGCCAACTAGTTACTGGGATTTATGAACCAACAAACATTACTGGGGAGCCCCACATTACACAGTTATGGCCATTTATTGGTTATAACTAACTGGTTATTTCTATGGGATAAAAGATATTCTATAAATGGGGTTTTCTTAGTACTTATAACTGGTATAACTCGGGCCCCACATTGCAGGGTAATTTTTGGATTTTCCAGGCAGCCCTCGCCGTGTCTTGCTGGCTACTTGGCCATGGAAAATATGGAAATCGTCGCTGACGCTGGGGCGAGGTGTTTTTTGGTTTAGATCACCATGACAAATCCATTGCATGCCATGAATATCCCATACAGTTATGGCAATTTATTAGGTATAACTGGCTATAAATGGGATTATACATTCTATTTTGATGGGGTTTTCTTTTCGTACTTATAACTGGTATAACTCGGGCCTTAACCGTAAATATCCTACTATAATAGTTGGTTATATCCCACCAAAAATCCCACCCAAAATCCCCTGTTTCGCACGTGGCGAGGTGAATCCTGCCCTGGGCCAATTGCTTTCGCAGTGTCAAGTCGTTACCCCGTTGGACCTCGATGGAACAAATGGAACAAGCGTGGCTGCACCTGCTGGGGCCGCAAAGGAGGATGATTCAAACGTTGGGGTGAAATCAGAATTTTGATCCAGTTGAGTTAAACATGACTAGTGACATAGTTGAGCAAAAAGTTGTTAAACATTGTTTCACTTAACATACTTTAGCATATAGTTTAACCGTGAAACAAGGGGGTTAGCAATTCAAAATTGGGGAGTTCGCATAGTTGGAGCATCAAACTGCGGGTTCACCGAATGGTTACCACGTGGGGTCCAGGAATAGCTTTGGTTAACTGGTACTTTACCAGTTATGAATGGTTAGAAATGGTGACACATGTTGTTATTATTCCATAAATAGGGTTATCACTGATGTATAACTGGCATTTCGTGCCATAGCTGTAGTAGTAGTAGTGGATGCGTGTTCCAGTGAGGTGTTATGACCCTCAATCCTCAGGACCCCTGAACATCCAGTTTTTGAAGCCCTCGAAGATTGTCAAGCCGCAGGTATTTCCTGTGGGGCTCAGAGACAATAAAGGTCCACATTTCTTCAATTATTTATGCAGCCATCTGCTGAGGGAGGCACAACTTTGCAGAATTTTGAGTCAGAGCTGCCATTGGCCTTGGGAATGTCTACTCGGCCATGACGTTTTTTATTGTTTCTTCCATCCTCCTGCTGTCAAACGTATTCGCCGCCTTGGTCGCAGGCGTTTTTGTTCGGCTCACAAACCAGAAGGGTTGGGGTGCAAAAGTTGCCTCTAAGTGTGCCTTGTTTGAGACAAACGAGACAAACGAGACAAACTTCAAACATCAGTGTTTGGTTGGCTGCCTCAAATCGTCTGAATAGACCCTCCAAGCAAGTACCCAAAAAAACATACAGAAATGAGGTTTACCATGTTTTACCCTCTATTAATTTAACATAGCTATTGAAAATCACCATCTATAGTAGGTAAATCCACTATAAATGGTAATTTTCACTAGCTATGTTAAATTACCAGAGGGTACCCCATTTTTTTAGTACGTTTACCATATGTTTGGAATATTTAGAGGGTCGGTATCCAGAAATCCAGTGATAAATCGCATCCATGGGAAAGTGATTTCGCCGACTTGTGGGTTGAAACTATCTTCGCCATAGCCATATCATTTAGCTTGTCGTTATCATCCACAGTTATGGCCATGGCTATTAGTGAACTAACTGGTTATAAATGGGATTATACATTCTATAAATGGGGTTATAAGTACTTATAACTGGCAAAGGGCCTTAACTGTACAATGTGGGGCCCCAAAAAAAACGAAATCGCTAAGTTGGGGTTCACATAACTCTAATTTCACGTTTGGACTCATGGTAGATATATCGAACTAGTTAATGGAATTATAAACCAACTTATAACTGGGGGGGCACCACCTTGTAGATGGGATTTTCCATTATAAACCAACAATCTCTGGGTACCACCATTTTAGGAAACCCCCAAATATGTGTTGGTCAACTAGGCTTTGTGGGAGATGCAATTTACTCTGGTTGGTGGTTTCAAACATGTTCTGTTTTCCACAATGTATGGGATAATCCTTCCCATTGACATTGACTTTCATATTTTCAAGATGGTTAAAACCACCAACCAGATATATCTGGGTAAATTATAACGACCTCACTGTTCTCCCTCACTGGAATCATGGTTAATAAGGGAAATCATCCCCATTCATGGCCGAACTATTCGGGTTAGTGAAATATTATACTTCGGCCAGATATATGAGATATCACCTGGGATGCTTCAAACATATAGGCATATCATATGATATACAGGATGGGGCCCCCAAGATAGCTAAGTTGGTTTATAAGTGGCTTAACAATGGTTTATGGTAGATATAACTATAGTTCATGGGGATTATAATTGTTTGTAAACCAACTTATACCTGGGGGCCCCATCCTGTTTATATATATATAAATGAATATATATATATATATATGAATATATATATATATGAATATATATATATATATGAATATATATATTTATATTTACATATTTATATGTATATATCTCTTGTCTATGGAGGGGGACATTCCCTATAGGGACACTCCTAAAGCAGTCCTTTTCATTCATTTCAATTCCAAATAATTCCATGTTTTTTCCAAATACGTATTTTTGTATTCGAACTATTTTTTTCATTAATATGTGTTTGATTATATATTTAAAATAATTATAAACACAAACAATGTTTTGGATGTGTTTATATGGTTTTATATTTTGTTTTTTCATTTTGTTAGGATTTGGTGTGTTTTGTTTTAATGGAACTTGTTGTTTCTGATGTTTTGATTTTGGGATTTGTTTGAGACTTTTTTGAATTTATTTATTATTGTGTTTCGTTATTTTTTTAATTGTTGGATTGTTGTTCTTTAGTGTTTTTTGATATCTTTGAGTTTTTTTTGGGACGTTTGAGACTTTTTTTGGAAAGATAGCAACTTTTAGGAATAGCCCTGTTAGGAGTAGCCCAGGTCTCTTTAATGAAATATAGGCTAGGTTGTTTCCTTTCATACTTGGCCGACTGATATTCTTGTTTGTGGAGTTTGTGACTCTTGAGGCTTCGAATTTGACTATACTTCCTCTAATGTTGGGGTCATATATGTCATATACCCCAAAATTATAGAAACTCACCACACGGAACATGATTTTCTAAAGTATGGTCTGGCATTTAGTTCCAAACCTTGAGAGAACCCAATTACTGATTGACGTGACACATCTTGGATACCTTGGAAAACATATAACAGGTTTTGATATTTCAGCTGGACACCTCATTTCCCGATTTATTCCCATCCCTCCGATATTATCACCTCCATTCTATGGTCCAGAAGTGCTTTCTTCCTCTACATCCTGAATGGTTTCCAGGTAGTGTTGAAGGGCTGAACGGAGGAAACGGGTTCATTCTAGTTGGAAAGTTGGTTAAAAACATTATAACCCCATTTATGGAATGATAACCCCATGGAAATAACTTGTGAAATAACCATTAATTTATAATCATTTACTGTAATATACCCATGATTTTCCCATTCAAATCACCATTTTCATCGGTCTTTTCCCATGATTGGCGCCGAGGAGCATGTTTCCGCCATTCCTACTCCTCTTGGCCACGGCCGCTCTTGGCCGCGAGCACCTCGAGGACGGTCGCCGGCAGCGCCCGGCAGAGTTCGCTCTTTTTGGAGAGCAGCCGTGGGTGTAGAGCTGTGCAGAGTTATGGCCTGAAATACCAGTTATAAGATGTTATAAGTCAGTTGTAACTTTGAAACCATTTATGGATGATTATGGATGTGATACCCCAATTATCACAATTGATAACTGGTGAAGGACATTAACTGTATAACTCCAATAGCTACAGTAGGGATTAAGTTAGGATTGTGGCAGGTATAATTTTTTGGAGGCCCTAAAAATAGAAAAGGTGCGTTTCAATGATTGGATTTTACTGTTCCGAGTCTTTTGGGGGTGATATGTAGTGAATGGATGTGAATGGGAGTTATAAACCAACTTACAATTGCAGCACGGAAAAGTTTAGCACATCCAGCAGGATTTTCCATCGTCGTTTGAGATTCTAACGTGGCGGGCTGCACTTGAGAACCAAGATGTTTGCAGTGAGCCTCAAATACAATCTGACACTGTGTTTTTTTGGGTAATTAAACCACAAGGATAGTCGGGTAGTTGGACCACGGCTCATAGACGGCCGTGCTGGGGTGGAGTTTTTTGGTGCGGGCGGCTCTAGGAGCGCGCGCACGTTGCACTATTTTGCATTGTTTTTTCTTTGGGGGTTGTTTTTTTTTCGGGGAGGGGGTTTGGAGGGGGTTCGGGGGCGGATAATAACGTTCTTGGCTGGCCGTCTTACAAGATATTCTCTTGGACTTGCTGCTACCCTATCCACTCTTCTCTTGCACTGTACCTTGCCACACGCTATCAACTTCTTTTTTTAACTTGCAAGACGCTCTTGATTTTTGCATTGTTGTTTCTTGTTTTTTTTTTTAGGGGGGGTGGGGGGGGCTAATAACGTTCTTGGCTGGCCGTCTTACAAGATATTCTCTTGGACTTGCTGCTACGCTATCCACTCTTCTCTTGCACTGTCTGTACCTTAAAAATTGCAGACATACGAAAAGAAAGATGGCCATCACAAAATGAGCCAAGGTGGCAATCAATGATCCAGCGATGGATGTGGCGTCAAACAATTTTGCCGTGTTCTCTCCCAAAGAATTGATGTCACACCTTGTCGATCCAATGAAGAAACATCATGACTTTCAATAACGGCTTCATCCACTGAAACAAATAGTTTGGGTGCTTTGCAAAACCACTAAAAAACATGTACTTCCCCATGTAATTACGAGATGAAGCCGCTTTAACCAATGGCACGTCTGCGTGAAAAGTCCAAAATGGACTTGGATGCTCGGACCACTGTAAATCAGCAGAAAAACAAAAAACAAGAATTGATGGTGTGCTGATTTCCTCACGGCCGCCTGTGAGCCGTGTACCTAGTTCAATACAATATATAATACAATTTATCGATTTACATGGAAATATATTCATGTTTACAGTTAAGGCCCGAAAAACCACACCCCATTTATAGAATGTTTTTCATCCCATATTTATAACCAGTTAGTTCACTAATAGCCATGGCCATTTTTCTGTAAGGACCAACCAGCTAACACCTTAACAAATCGTCTCCTGCCATGAGTTGGGCCATTGGGGGTTGGAAGACTAGGATCTATGTTAGTTTTACAATGTGGGTCCTTCCAGGTACCCATAGGATCCATGGTGCTGCTATATATGGTAACATGGATCCCATCAATATACCCCCAATGTTAGCATATATACCATACATGGATCCTATGGGTTTAGTTGTAGGTACCGTAAACCATCGTGAAATTGGAGTTATGTGAACCCCAACTTGGCTATCGTAAACGGGGGGGGCACTTTGTAGCTGCGCAGAGTTATGGCCCGGAAGACCAGTTGTAAATTATAAGTCAGTTGTAACTTAGA